GGAAATAAATGTTTTTCTTTAATACACATTGGTCACAATTAATCATACCCTTTTATTCAATACTTTTTGCAACCTCCTTTTGCCAAGAGAACAGCTCTGAGTCTTCACCTATAATACTTGAAGAGTTTAGAGATAGGAGATCAGAGACCATTCCTTCATCCAGAATCTCTCCAGACCCCTCAGATTCCCAGCTGCATGTTGATGCTTCTCCTCTTCAGTTCACCACACTCATAGGGTTCAGCTCAGGGGACTGGGTTGGCCATGGCAGAAGCTTGGTTTTTTTGCTCAGTGACCCATTTTTGTTTTGATTTTGATGTTTGTTTGTGGATCCAACCATGGCCCATTATAAGATTTCTAGCATGGACAGTCAGTTTTAAATGTTTTATCCATTGGTATTTTATAGAATCCATTATGCCATCTATCTGAACAAGATATCCAGGATCTCCGGCAGAAAAATAGGCCCACAACATTAAAGATCCAGCAGTATATTTCATTGTACACATGGGGTACTTTTTATCACTGTGTGTGCCAAACGCATCTAGAGTGTTTGCTAATTTTTTTAGTTTCATCTGACCATTGAACCCAGTCCCGTTTAAAGTTCCAGTCGTGTCTAGCAAATAAATATGCTGGAGTTTGTTTTTGGATGAGAGCGTTTTCTTTTCTAGTTTTTTCTTGAAACCCTCCTAAACAACATATTTTTTTTGTGGCTTTCTGACCCCAAGACTCAACTATTTTCTGCAGTTCTCCAGCTGTGATCCTTGGAGTCTTTGGCCACTCAAACTCTCCTCCTCACCGTGCATTAGGACCATATAGACACATGTCCTCTTACTGTATTAGAGCAAAATATTTATTTCATAATGTGATTTTCCCCCACTTAGAATTTTTATTTTTGAATAAAAGATCAAGTGGATAAACAATGCGGATTTATTTTCACAGCCTTCTTTAATCATATTTACCATATGTACCAATCATTTTGAGCACAACTGTATATATTTTGGAGCTTTAAGTTCACTCTGTATGTTTGGGCATGTGGGAGTTGTATAAAAAATGCTAATGTTTTTAAAAAGCACAATTTCTTATTATTTCAGTGGTTATATGGGAGAATAAGATGAAATGTGAGTCAGAGAATTCGACTCGTCTGTCAACTAACAAATTAGAGATTCTGTGATTTCTACATGCTAAAAGAATGTAACATTTTAATGTAATCCACGTCTCTCTTTCTGACAAAAAGTAGCTGAACTTCATCCAACTGTGGGTTTAAATGAATAAAATTATTGTAAATATGTACAGAGCCAGTGTTTTTTCTTTTAGAAAGCGCTTTTTTTTTTATTACATTCAAAAGCAGATGAATAACATGGGATTGTAGATTAAAGTCACCATAAGGTTATTTTTATATATTGCATTAGGTGGTGGTGTGGTGTATCAGTTTGTCATTGTCAGGCTGAACAAACTCTTCTTTGTTTTTCTTGCTTCCACTAAAGTAATTTAATCCAGCCTTCATTTCCAGGGGCTTGGACATTTCTTTGGTGATGTTGTTTTGTATGATTTGTCTCTTAGAAAGCACAATGCTTTCCATTCAAGGACATTTTATCTTGTAAATTGTTTACTTAAGCAATGTCTAACCTCTCAAGCACACACACACAAATACATTCATGCATAACTGGAGTCCTCTTATTAATGTGTCTTCATTTCTGTACCACCAAATTTGGAAACTACAAGACAAACGAATACATAATTAGCAATCGTAAACATGTTTGAAAACATATCTTCAGGTTTCATTTTTAATTAGGTTTAATGCAATTAATTCTACTTTTAAATGATAAAAGAGAAATGCAAACATTGAGGTTAAGGAATGATCTATTTAAACTGATGCAAATGAACAAATCCGTTCACCTCCCAAAATGCCTGGTCATCAAAGCACTTCCTGTCCTGCTGGGGTCTCCAGATACTCCATTTAAGAAAAAGTCCTGCACATTTTTATTTCAGTTGTATGTATAGTTTGCCTCATTGAACCAAAACACAAAACTAATAGGTCACACGGTTTTTTTTTTTGTATGATTACTTGGGAATCAGAAGTGAGTCAATGCAAACTACTTGTCACAGAGCAAACGGGAGATTGGGGATGGTTGCAACGAGGGGCAGACACAACATGGCTTATTTCTTTAATCAGGAATGAGCTACATTCTTGATAGTCATACTGCACATTCTCAATTAGCCCCTCATCCTTCCTAGAAGAAATCAGCCACATGTGACCATTCCTTCTACAAAAAAAAAAAAATGTATGATCAGATTTTATGTCATACTGTTTGCTTGGAGCATTGTAAAGTCATATATTTTTAATCATTGTTCTCTTAGCTTCTAATAGGCATAGAGCATGCGTCAAAGATACTGTGTCAAGCTAATATAGCAGGTTTTATCACGGCTGTCAGTGTAGGGTCCCAACATGCTGTCCATTACCACAACATTACACAATTGTATTTGTATTTTATGGATTAATAAAGAACCCCTATCAATAGTCAGGTATCTCTCATTTTTTTAAGTATATGTTTTTAAGTCTAATGTGGACTAATTTCCTGGTCTTCCACCTTCTCTTTGTCACACACACACACACATGCATATGTACATAAATGACATAAGTTACACACAGTTACATAAAATGGTAGATTTGTCTAATTTGAACCTAAAAAGTAAGACTCGTTACCACATGGTTTACTGCTAGTTAGTCAAACTAGTAAAGACACGGTCTTAATATAGTGCTATGTTTATGCAGCTGGCCCCAGTTCAGTAAACTTTAACAGCAGTAAACTTTAACAGAAGTAAGCTATTATTAAATTTTAGTGTCTTGATTTTGATTCAATTAATATTTTGTAGTTCAAAAGTATTGTAATATTTAATCAAAACATGGTTGTTACTTGATCCCCCCCCCCCCATCCCCCCATTTACTAGCCTATTCTTTGTTTTTACACAGCCAGTTTAACTTATTGAAGACCCTGTCTGTGCACAGATAAAATAAAGAAATTATATTTAAGAGTGAATTTAATTACATTTTAATGAATGTTGCAACTGCCCCCATGTGGACTGTTGCAACCATCCCCTGTTCAGTTGTAACATTTGACTTTGTCTATTCAAGTATAAATTGTAGGTATGGTATACTATCATATGTACACATCAGCTGACAGATGTAACTTTATTGTATTAAAATGTTCGCTCTCCAATACAAACCCTCTCTGAGAAACAGAATGAAATGCAAAAAGTGTCTAAACCGTCCCCGATCTCCCCTACATATCAATGTATGCACTAGAAAACAGTGTAAACCAGCCTAAGCTGAATAATAAATACATACAGTAAATGAATCACTCAGAAAGTGCTAGTCAATTTCACAAATAATTACAAAGAAACAGCAAGCAACAATGAGTTAAACATAAAAAAACTAGAAAGACTGAAATGGTATTTTCATGTAAAATGTACTCCAGTGACCTTTTTGACTTTTTTTTACAGTGTGAGATGCTGATCTTTATGATGGTTTATTCAAAACACGAGAAGCACAAGCAAATGATCTGTTCTAATGATCTTTAGTGTGAATGCATTGGTGGTGTTGTACCTGTAGCTGTGCCCATCACCAGACTCATGCACGCCGTTATGAGGAGAACACAGATGTGATAGACAGCGAACTGCACCGCTCTGAGAACACAGATACAACACAGTCAACATAATAGGAGTGGACCATATGCTTTAGTGCCATTTTATGGAAAAAATATTTTACATTGTGCTCTCATTACTGGCCAGCCGTAGAAACAAATGAGCAAACCATCCCAGAATTCCCGGTATGGCATGCACGCTGAGGACGCCGCAGGTGTCGTGACACTCAAAAGCAAACAGCATGTGATTCTGAATGAAAGAAAAAAAAAACTGAAAATCATTCCTGACAGTTTATGTAATATAAAGTATACACATCTCACACATCAAAAATCTGAGATTTAAACCTTTTCATTTGTTTTTTTTAAAGCATTAAACATTTATCATGTCAGCTCGAGCTTGAGCAGCAATGGGTTTATTTTTTAGACCACTCTTTTCTCTCTGACACCCTTTTCTGGTTCTGTTTGAAATTAGCTAATTGATGTGGGTTGGGCTAATTAGTGATATCGGGCAATACATGTTACTGAGAGCCTTTAAAAAGCACTCAGCTTTTCGTGATGGAAAATATTGTTGACGGAATGACTGTGATTATTGAATGAGTGTCACTATTGAGAGAGTGTGGCTTGAAAGTTGAGTTTTGTTTATTATCATGGGGAGAGAGGCTTTCTCCTTTGGCCTCTTGGGTTTTGATTTTCGCTTGAAAACCTAGTTAACCACGCGTATTTGTAAAGAAAGACTCTCTACTAGCGGGCAGTTTAAGTGTTGTGGCTCTCCTTAAAGCCTGGGTTTATCGGCTGAAATTCAAAACACATTTAACCTTATGCCGAGTTCACACTGCACGATTTTCAAACTCGTCGGATCGCCGTTGTTTTCACACTGCGTGACTATCTGGGGTAGCATTCAGTCGCTGCTGTGTTCACACTGCACGATGGATCGGCGACAGGGGGTTTCACACTGCATGACTTCACAATAGGAAGAATCGCCGACAGCTCTGTCTGGTCCGCAAACTACGTTTCATAACAAAACATATATTCAAACAGTCTTGCTCGAGAACTCTGGTCTGATGCACGCGGGTTCTCGCGTTATTTCCTTATCACTTCTCGCGTGTGTTTTGTTGTGAAAGAGTTAATGAAAGTTATGTGCATTGTAATGTTTGGAGCAGATGTCATGAATGTCAGTAGACAGGGACGATTTTAAAACAAGAGGTTCATTCATAAATTTGTAAGCTCTTAGCTTCATGCTGTGGAAATACAAACCGGAAGACAGAAGACAAGTGCTGAGAATTTTTTAGAGATTGATATTTTACGGCTTTACCTTCATGTACCGGTATCCCAAGGCTGATAAGAGAGCAGCACAGAATCCAATCGTCATGGCAATCCACGGCGCGTGGACTGCTGTCATTGCAACTCCAATGGCAACACCACCAGACAGGGCAGAGCTCTGGACATGAACCTGTGCAGACATGCTACTCATCTCATGATGCCCATTATCTGAAAATCTGCTCAACATTCCTAGATCCCAACTAAGTCAACATGAAATGGTGTTCACAACCCATTTTACTTTAAGAATGTTACAAAGTATTGCATTACATTATAGTTTTCTACTATGTGAGGGAGTTGCTAGAATGTTGTTCCTACAGCCGCTCACCATGTTCATCTTTCCTTTGGAGCTAGTGAGCATAGAGACAGACATCGCCATGACAACACTGACAGCCAGCGACAGATACGTCCCATAAATGACAGTAAGCTTTAGTCCTCCGTCCCACCTGTAATCTCGCACCAGTGCCGAGTTAAAACTGGGCCAGAACATCCACAGGAATAGCGTTCCTGTGAGGAAAAGAGAAAGAAAGGATGTTCCTGTGCTTAATATAGACATACAATAATTACACTTCAGTCCTCCAATCTCATTGGACAAGCATCAATCCAAGAGTGATGATATCACTGTTTGTATCACTCCGTTTGTATGTGTTTGTTCAGTCTGTGTATCAGTGATGGGATTTTTTTCAGTGAATCTTTCTGCAGGTTGCATCAATTCACCAGAGGGTGGGGGACGGGAAATGACTGCCTTTATGGGTGAGCCACCGAACCATTGAATTGATTCGTTCAACGCGCTGATTCATTTAGGAACTAAACAAGTAGTTTCTTTATGAGTGAATCTCTGAATCTTTCATTCAAATGATTCGTTGAAAAACACATTTATTAAGGAAAAAAAAACTGTCCTTAGTACTGAATCTTTGAATGATTCATTCAACCGATTTGTTTTAAAATGCTGATTAATTCAAAAACTAAACGAGTTACTGTCTTTATAAGTAAATAACTGAATCTTTTATTCAACTGACTGACGTAAAATGCTAATTTATTCAGGAACAAGAACAAATAACTGTATTTATGATTGGATTATTGAATGATTCATTCAACCGAGTCCTTGAAAATGCTGATTAATGCTGCATGAATTAATTAATTCAGGAACGAAATTGGCTACTGTCTTTATGAATGAGTAACTGAATGATTTATTCAAGCTATTCATTCAAAAACGTTCATTAAGTGATTGTGGTCACGATTGTGCTCACAGGGTAACACTTTACAATATCAGTACATGAATAATCATACTAATACTTGAATTAAATCCTATTACTTTAATATGAACTAATGATGTGTCAAGGCATTCACTGATCATGAACTAGCCTTAGCTACGACATGAGTCATAATTCATGAATCATGAATTCATGTGTGAATAACCACTTTGACTACATGTGTGTTAGTTAATGTATTAATTAAAACTTTGGGGCACGTTTTCACACCTTAATTCACATGATTTATGTTTAGTTGAGCTTATTAGTTCATATTAAAGTAATATTTAAATTAGGTAGGCCTATTAGTACATGATTACTCATGTACTGTTATTGTAAAGTTTTATCCAGTTGGGGCTATGAAACATCAATTCAATCATTATAAATAATCTGCGTTCATAACACACTCTCGCTCATGTGGCATTGCTCTATAAAATTCAGTGCTTTTTGCTTTGTTAAAACAATTTAAATGGCATAATCTAAGTTATTTAAATCAGGTAAATAAGTTGTATATATTAAATGTATTAAATAAGCAGGTGCTATTAAATATACAACTGGTTATACAGCTCACTTGAATTTATCGAAATCATCTGACATGCTGTTATTATGGAAGCCCATTTCTGCCAAAAATGTAATTGTAACTTTTTATCTCACAATTCTGACTTTTTTCCCCTCATAATTACGTTATGCAAACTCGCAATTCTGACTTTTTCCCCTCATAATTACGTTATACAAACTCGCAATTCTGACTTTTTTCCCCTCATAATTACGTTATGCAAACTCGCAATTCTGACTTTTTTCCCCTCATAATTACGTTATGCAAACTCGCAATTCTGACTTTTTCCCCTCATAATTATGTTATACAAACTCGCAATTCTGACTTTTTTCCCCTCATAATTACGTTATGCAAACTCGCAATTCTGACTTTTTTCCCCTCATAATTACGTTATGCAAACTCGCAATTCTGACTTTTTGTCTCAGAACTGCGTGATATAAACTCGCAATTGCGAGACATAAACTCACAATTCTGAGAAAAAAGTCAGAATTGCGAGATATAAACTCGCAGTTCTGAGAAATAAACTCAGAATTGCGTGATATAAACAAAGTCGCAATTGCGAGTTATAAAGTCAGAATTGTGAGATAAAAACTCACAATTCTGAGAAAAAAGTCAGAACTGTGAGAGAGAAAAAAAGTCAGAATTGCGAGTTTTTATCTCGCAATTGTAACTTTATATCTCCCAATTCTGACTTTAGAACTCGCAAATCTGAGTTTATATCACGCAATTCTGAGAAAAAAGTCAGAATTGTGAGTTTATATCACTCAATTGCGAGTTTATATCTTACAATTGTATGAAAAAAGTCGCAATAACCCTTTTTAAAAAATGTTATTCAGTGGCGGAAACGGGCTTCCATATGTTATGGATATGGTCTGAAACGAAAGAACTGGTTTGAGGTATTTTTTGAGTTTGAGAGAAGTTAATGTACTCACCAAACATTGCGAATAAGCCAGTCTTGCGGTCAGTTTTCTCTTTCTCATGTTCTGGTTTGATCCCCTCTCTGTGCAGCACCCATGACACCATCACACCAAACAGAGCTCCGAAGACATGCAGCAGCATGATGCTGTACACTGGATCTGCCTGATACATCAGCTCTGCTTTAGTAAAGTATGAAAATACAGTCTGTCTGATTCAAATTTTGATTTAGCTTTTTGCAGTACTAAGTGGAATGTCTTGCAAGTATTCAGATAGTAACTCCCAAATATGGTTTTACTGTTCAGAATTACATATTACAAAATTATATAAAATATTACAACTGGAAAACTAAGTATTTTAGACTAGAACAGAAAAACATCTGTTAACTATAGAAATATTAGAACATGTTTAACGTTAATTTTCATGACTTTGAAAGTTTCCTGATATTTAAAAAGTATATACTGCTTATACAAAATGTATGCAAATATTATTATTATATTAAATTGAACTAGTTTTGTTATTGATACTTTAAACAGTATCACACTATAATAATTCATTTTTAGTGTTTTACAGTAAAAAAAAAAAAATGTTTGTCTGGAAATGTTTCTACCATCTGAATTTGCCAGATATAGCAGAAAATTGCATGGGAAATAAAACTACTGAATCTGGCTGGCCGTGTACCTAGAGATGAGGATATGGGAAATTTTGAAAATTGATTTATATATTTTGGAAATTAATAGTTTTCTTACAGAGCAGAGTTTGCAGAACCCACTGATTTAGGAACAAAACAAATAACTGTTTTTATAGCTGAATCTTTGAATGATTCATTCAACCGAATGAATCATTCCTCATTGTAATTCTTTTTATTTGAGATGAGGATCATAGGATAAAAATGATCATTCTTATCTGGGAAAGTAATGCTTCTTACATTGAACAGAGCTCGCAGGATCCACTGAGTGACCACAAATCCCGTGACCTCAACCAGAGCCATCAGTAAAAGCTGGACAGGATTTGCCTTCCCATGGACCGCTCCCATGGCAACCAGAGCGGATGCTGCACAGAGCTCTGCCTCAACAACACTACATGCACAAATAACATTTGATATCATGTGATGCTGTAAAACCTCTTTTAAAAAATAATTCACCAAACTGACAAACAAACTGATCTACATCTTGGGATGGTCTGAGAGTGAGTGTATTTCATTTTTGAGTGAACAATTCCTTTAATAGTTTTCCATCTGTCACTGAAAATGGCCTATTCTGGTTTTGCCATCAGCATGTTAAGGCATGTCTGCTAAGAGTTGTAATGTATGTACCTCTTCATATTGATGTGGATCTCTCTTCTGTGGTGTTGTTGTGGCAGCAGGAAGCCATTTATCAAGACGGCCCACTGGATGGCCATGGCTGCCAACAGCATGTTAAACCCTGATCCACTGAAACCATATCGTACAAGGAACGTGGCCAGGAAACCAAACCCCGTGAATATCATCACATGAACATCTTGGAATTCTGTAAAAAGGATTACAGTTCCAATATTGGCAATGTGTACATTTATAAAAACATATTTAAAAACTTGAAACATTTGGCAATGCACTTGGTGGTCACTGCTTGTTGTGGTAGAGAAATGCTTCTTATCATCCAAACCAGAGATGTTGTGGCTCCACACCCCAACGGCAACATGGCCAAGGTAAAGTCATAATCATTTTGGGTATGCAGCAGGCTCATGTGAATTTTGAGTTAACATTCTTTATCCATATTCAAAATAAATTCTGGCCAAGATATATATTTTATAGATGTTGTAAACAGTTAAGCTCAATAAAATTTATTTTTGAAATGGACAATATATTTAGTTTCAACCTACGTACACCAAAATATATTTCCAAATGTATTTCAGGGATGTTAAGGCTAAATGCAAATGTGGAGGAATAGCCTACTAGAGATCAAAACTAGATTTAGAATGATTTAATAACTTCATAAATTGCAATACTGTAATTGTTTTTGCTTTTTTGGAACATTGTAAAGTATGCTTAATAGAAAACAAAAGTTCTTCTTCAAATGTGATGTATGCAAGTGTATTTTACTGTATTAAAACATGGAGGGCAAAATATTTTTTTACAAAATTATATATTGGTTGAAACTACATTTGCGTCAATATATTATGAAACATTTTAGCAAATATATTTTTGGCCTTTAAAAAAAACATTTTAAAATATATATTTGAAAATATATTTTTAGTTGTTGTTGTTGTTATATGGGGTGGTTTGATATGTTAAAGTTGCTTAATAAACCCCAGGAATGAATTTCTTAGCAGAATATGCGATTGACAGCCAGTCTTTTGTTGCATTTATTCATATCAACATGTGAAGTGAACATAGCAGGTTTGCAATAGATTATGTGATTTGATGCTGTTCATAAATAACCACAAGTTTAACAGGGAATGCAAGTTTGAGCCCTTAAAAATGCATAACACAGCCTTAAAGTACATCAGACTTACTAACCTGCATATGAGCTGATGAAAAGCTTACTGTCAGACTCTCTGCCAAACTGCTCATGCTGCTCTATTTTCACAAAAATGACAAACAGTAGGAGAAAGATGGTTTCCAGCAGGAAGGCCACGAGAGGAAGTCTTGAGCGGAGACTGGGGGCGTACTGAGGAGCCATTATTAGGTGACAAACTCTGAATGTCTGCAATCTACACCCGCCAGAGATGAGGAATATGTAAGATCACGTGCATGTAAGAGGCATGGAGGTGTTTCCCAAAAATGCCACCTAAGTGTGCATTTAATCAATATGGCCTTAGTGTAATATCTTGGATTGTAGTTTATTTGTATAACAGGTCCATTATCAAAAGAAGATGATGCAAGACGTATTGTGTTAATTGTGGTTAAGTTTGTGTTATTCCTGTCCTGCAGTATGGAGTATGAAACCTGCAAAAACAATAAATAAATAAATACACAAATAAATAAATAAGTGCATAAATACACGTATTCTTGTTTAAATACATAAATAAATAATTATACATGTGATGAAAGTAGGCAAATAAATAACATAAATTGGGAAATGGAAAATGTTTAAGGAAATGCTAAACTCATCCTAACTATTTTCCTTTGATCACTCATTTATTTCTGAATGTAGTTCCACATTTATTTTTCCTCTGCGCAACATGCTAATGAGAGGGTGTCAATTATGCAAGAGTAGGCGGATCGTGTGTGACGCGCTTGAGCGCTATGATCTTTTAATCATAAAAGATTTTAAGTGGCCAATGTAAAATATTAATGCTTACATAGCTCTTAATTGCAATACTGAACCGTTATTTGCTTAATAAACATACTTTTGTCGCCTGTATTTTCTGTTCTGATAACTAATGGGAAAAGCGGTCTGTTCCTCGATTAAACCACTTCATACCAGTCATCTTACGATGACCATGGGATACTGATATTACAGTTGTCTGTAGCTGGAGACTCAATCGGGTTACAAAAAATGACGTCAGGAAACGACACTGGCCATTTCGTTGGGTTGTTTGTAAAGTCACAGATACTGTACGGACAATACAGCAGGAAAAATAAACGTGGAACTACATTCAGAAATAAATGAGTGATCGAAGGAAAATAAATAGGATGAGTTTAGCATTTCCTTAAACATTTTCCATTTGTCCACCAATTTATTTGATTTATTTGCCTACTTTAATCACATGTTTAATTATTTCTACAAGAATTTGTGTATTTATACACGCATTTATTTATTTATTTGTGTATTTATTTATTTATTGTTTTTGCAGGTTTCGCCCTCCATAGTACAGCACCGTTTGAATGTAATATTGTTTCCCCCCCAAGACTAAAGTAGTGAACTTGTTTTAAATTAATTTCTTTTCACTTAATTGAAATCAAATGGGGCTAATTAAATGATTAGACTATCCCAACTTTTTTTACATTTTATCCGGTATATTAAAAATATGTGTTGGGGGGGGGGGATTAAAATTGAGCTAATAGTACAATTAAATGATCACTAATCAAGCTATTGATATTAAATGAATAATGCATTATAACTTATTTGGTGGGCCTTGTTTATGCCATTGTAGCGTTTGAGAGTCACACAATGTAAAAACACTTGTGCATAGCAATGAAACGTGTCCTCATTTATTGACGAGCCACTCACTGCACAGAACAGACGCCGAGAGAGGCGACACTTCTCCGGGAAAGTCAGACCTCGCGTTCGCGGGACAGCACTGGCGAAATCTTCCAACTGAACCATAGCTAAGGTTTATCCAAAAAAGTCGCTAGGTTTGTCAGTATGAATATTCTGTGGAAAAAAGCCGCTAAAAGGGTCTGAAAGTAGCTAAATCTAGTGCTAAAGTCGCGCTTGTGTGTGTGTGAGACGCGGGAGCTGATGGCAGCGGGCGCTGGATATTTGTGGCGGTCAATGTGGATATTGTGGATGAGTTCTTCTGTGTCATCACGTTCTATTAGTTCTACAGCTTCAGTTTCAGAACTTTCACGCTTAGTAACACATACAGCTGTTCCCTCACCACAGTGCAACAGTGAAAAGGGACCCCTTTCAAACAGTGTCGCGTTCCCAACGTTGTTTAAGCGACATATTGCGGTATTTTAAAAATTCATATCATAACAAAAATAAGAACCGGTATACCGCCCAGCACTAGTAGTGAGTATTTATTTGTTTGTTTGCTTCCAGGAATAATGTTTAGGTTAAAATTACCATTATTTTAAATATTGTTAAAAGCTGTTCTAAACCCATCTGACTTTTTTGTATGTGAAACACAAAAGATTCTAACATCAGTAACGTTAACCATTCACTTTCGTTGCTTTTTTTTCGCATAAAATGAAAGCAAATGACTGAAACTGTCATTCTGAGTGACTAACATCTCCTTTTGTGTTTCACGGAAGAAAGAAGATGATTCTTTTGTAAGGGTAATAATCTTAATTACACCTACATATTTCATGAATAGGATCTTTTTTTTTTTTTTGCACAATTCATTCTTTCATTGAGAGCTGTAGTTTTTTTTTTAGTCTCATTGTTTTTCTTTTGTATTGTATGTTTTGTCATGGAGCATCTAACCCATCAATCAAAAGTGATGTTGTGAAGGGGTTTTATGCAGCATTATTGCATATTTTATATCTTAGCAGTTGGTATAACCTCTCATATAATAGCATTAATCTCTATACATGGGATGCCAGTCATATTGCTGACCTGTTGTCTGAGTGCCAGTGTTTGGGTATGTTCGTTGTTTGGTATATAGTACGTTTACTGGTGGTCATATACAGACTTAATTTCAAATGTTTAAAGCAAGATGTCAATGAAGTGTGCTATACCAAATTTACACTGCGAAGGTGGCACAGAGGCACTTCTGAAGTGGCTTTTAGGTGTCTTTACACAGACTGTTTAATGCTACTCAGAACATTCTTTCATTGAGAGCTGTAGTTTTTTTTTTAGTCTCATTGTTTTTCTTTTGTATTGTATGCTTTGTCATGGAGCATCTAACCCATCAATCAAAAGTGATGTTGTGAAGGGGTTTTATGCAGCATTATTGCATATTTTATATCTTAGCAGTTGGTATAACCTCTCATATAATAGCATTAATCTCTATACATGGGATGCCAGTCATATTGCTGACCTGTTGTCTGAGTGCCAGTGTTTGGGTATGTTCGTTGTTTGGTATATAGTACGTTTACTGGTGGTCATATACAGACTTAATTTCAAATGTTTAAAGCAAGATGTCAATGAAGTGTGCTATACCAAATTTACACTGCGAAGGTGGCACAGAGGCACTTCTGAAGTGGCTTTTAGGTGTCTTTACACAGACTGTTTAATGCTACTCAGAAATGGCATAAATGCATTTACACAACAATAACCACCATATACTTTGATACACATTTTAGTCAGGATTTTATGCTGCATTACGTCTTTGCACAGCATTTTAAGCTGGCACAGAGCAGCCTTAAATCAGCTGTATAAAGATGCCTATAGATGGTAACAATTTATAGGTAATTATGTTGTGAATATTTTCACTGAAATGGTCAAAAATAGGGATTTTCTTCAGTCAGAGAAATCATAATTTCAACCGAGCAGTCATTAAGGCCAAGCTAATTCATAATGCCACTTTCAGCAGTAACATACAGTGAGAAGCTTGATAGAAATAATCAAAATATGATTTCCAAACAAGGACATAATTATAAATGACTAAATAAATAATGCCTTGTGTAAACAAGCACAAATAATAATTATATTTTATATAATGCACTATGTACAGTACACAAAAATGCATTAAAAAAGCATTTTTATATTTGCAAGAAATAGTTGAATTGAGTTTTTCACTGATTCATTGACAGCTTGAACTGATAAAAAAAAAAATGAATCGAACCTAGAAACTATATGCTCACCTTAATGCAAATTCCTGGCAAATAATTGCAGATATATCATGATGAATATTCTATATTTTGCACACCGCTGCTTGCATTTGTTAGTAATTCTGCTGTAAAAGTGTTATTATCATCGTAGATGGATGACGCAGTTAAACACTATGATTTACTCACAGTGGGTAAATAACTGGCAACTTGTTTCTGCCATTAAAGAGAGTTGCCAGACTTCACCCATTATCAGTCATTTGCTATTCTCCTTGATGTTCAGCATGTTTGACTCTTTAATGTAGTGGCTATAGAGCTTACATTCAGTCATGTCAGATGTTGACATAATGTTGCATGTGATTTCAAGTCTGCATCTGGGAAATAACTCTGTGGGGTTTCATTTGGAATAATTTTTTACACCAATCTGTAAAACCAGATTTCATTTAGATTTGGTCCTAACTGTGTGATACTAAAATATGAAGCAAATGTTTATGTGAAGATCATTTGGTGCTTTATTTAAAATCAGAATAAAATCAGATATGAATCTATTTACATGCTTTTGGTTTTGTTCCAAAAGAAACATTCCTCAAATCTTTCATCAGAGTATTTTAACCTCTGTTTTCATGTGTAATATGTGTTGCATATGGAGTTTTTGTTTTAGATGCTTCCATCCATTTACTGTCAACTTTGATGATATAATCTGTGAAGATGCATCTGTAACACCTGTTATCTGATTTATGTTGCTTTCCTCATTGAGGTGGAATTGAGCAAGTATGTCATCAGCCCAGACCTACCGGTCCAGTGACTGCTTTTTTTGTTTTGTTTTGTTTGTTTTTTTAAACCTTGTGTTAACACAATCATTTATTCATCATCAGAACACTATTAATAGTGTCTTCAGCACCTGTATGAGCAGCGGAGAAATATGTAGAAGATGCTATTAGATTAATCATAATCATTAAAGACAGAAGAGCAGCGATATTGTACTTTTTTTCAACAAAATAGGAAGTAGTTTGTTTTGAAGTGTATGCTTTTACACCTCTCTTCCAAATGACGTTTTCTTTTAAGACAAAATTCCTGGAAATTAATTGATCTTACCAACACCAACTACTTTTTTTGGCTCTGTTAAAATATCTAAATGTCTTTTTCTTGTTTTTATTATTTTTAATATTTGTAAATATTATTATTATCTCTGTTATCTGGTGGACATTAACTTTAAGATTTTATTATACGATTTTAATTTTATTTTAAGATCTTATTTATTTTTTTGCTTTGTTCTGTTTTTAGCCATTTATGCACGTTTAAACACTTTAAGCTGCGTTTCATGTATGTAAATAATTTTTTTAATCATTTATTTTTAGCTGTCTTAAAGCTCCTTTTTTTGTGAAACAAAGAATGATCACAAAATCGGTCTGATGACACAGTCTTTAGGGCCATTTAATGGCCAAAAAACTCATTCAAATCATGATATTCACAATGTTGCTTAATTTCATATTGACAGCATAATATATGGAAAATATTCAGTATCTCACCTAGGTGTAATTATAGTCTAATTAAAGAATATTTCTGTTATCTGGTGGATTGAGTACACCTTATCTGCATTGCTACATCTGGAAATACATCTTACTCATGTGCTCTTGGCCTCTTCTCATCCCTACATAAAACATAATCCACTTCATTCACTACACACTGCATTGGAGAAAGCCAAACAGTGATTACGTCCTACCCATGCTTCATTGGTTTGCATTTAATGCTGGAGATCATGATGGAGTTTCTTGTTCGTGTCACTAAATGTTCATTGGCTCAAGGCCACATGTGGGGTTTTATTCAGAGAGATGAAATCTTGAATGGATGATTGAATGGTTGGGTAAGAATAACATCTCTTTCTCTTTGTCTCAGTACATTCCTGTACCTGAAGTTTCTAGTGGTCTGGGCTCTAGTGCTGCTGGCAGACTTTGTGCTGGAGTTCCGCTTTGAGTACCTCTGGCCTTTCTGGCTCTTCATTCGCAGTGTTTACGACTCCTTCAGATACCAGGGCCTGGTGAGTGAGTAAGTGAGTGTGTGTGTGTGTGTGTGTGTGTGAGAGAGACAAGCTTTTCATCCAGATAATGGTACTAAATAATTAAAGAAATCGACTGCTCACGCTCATGTCATCCCAACAAAAAATCAAATGTTTATCAAAATGTCTGAGCTTCTGCTTTCCATACAACAAAATTGCATGGTGATTTATACTTCTTATAAGCTTCAAAGCAGACGAAGAAAAAAAAACGCTAGAAGCCAGAATCGTAATTTTCAGATTCACTGATTCTGAAAATGAGTTGCTTCACATATATTTTAATCCCATTACCTTTTTATATTATATATATATTTGTATATATTATATATTGTAAATGCCTAATGTAATGTCTAGTGGAAGTTCAGCTTTGCCATCACAGGAATAAATTACATTTTAAAATGTTTTCCAATAGAAAATAGTTATTTTGAATTGTAATTATTTCACAATATTACAGTTTTTACTATATTTTCTATCAAATAAATGCAGCCTTGGCAAGCATAAGAGGCTTCTTACAAAAGCATTAAAATGTCTTAGCTCTTATACTGTATGATGAATTTATGCATCTCTTTCTGGGTTTGATGTTATCAATAATCCTGTGAGGGACATAAACTGCAGTTTATACTCTTATCTAGTCTTATCTGAGATTAAAAGATTTCTTCATGGTCAGAAGGTCAGTCGTCAGTAGTATTGAAGTATTATTTGCACTTTATATGAACTGTTCCTATTATGTCTCTTAAATAATCATGAAAACGGCATGATAGTTAAAAAATGCTGTTTAGGGTTGTTTTATATGATGCTTCACAGCAGGACGCTGAAGTTCTATTTCACTGAGGAGTGTGAAATGACAGTCATGCCATTTGCACATGTGGTGATCTGATGTGTCTCTCTGTGTGTTGCAGGCTTTCTCAGTGTTTTTTGTGTGTGTGGCATTCACATCAGATATTATATGTCTGCTGTTCATCCCAGTGCAGTGGCTGTTCTTTGCAGCCAGCACATATGTGTGGGTGCAGTACGTCTGGCACACAGGTAAGAGCTGCATATTGTTCATAGTGTATCACATGTTCTCCATCATTGATCTAGTTTTCTTTGTTTTACCGTTACTGAAGTCTAACCTCAAGCTTACAGCTGATTGGTCAGCAGATTGTGAACATTCATGACTTGCAGCTTTGACACTTCCAGTATAGATAACCTCAAACGCCATCTCTGGATTCTCAAATTCTCTGTATAAGGATGATGGATTAAAAATATATTTTACAAATGTGTGTACAACTGACACCTTGGAACTCCAGCATGAGAGGAGCATTCCCATGCTGCTGTGAGCTTTTGTTGTCATGACATGTTTTATTCTCTCTTTATAACATGCACACAGACACACACTGTGACCTTGCAGCTGTAAGCTTGGTTATTTCTGCTGGTGTGACTGAGCAGCTCTGGATTTTGATGTCAACAATAGGATTTGCTTCAAATGACTCAGTCGCTTTGTTTAGCGCTGATGCTTGATTCAGATTCACCCATAGAGTGTGTGCTTGAATCGTTGTGGGTTTGTTTAGATTAATTTGGGCTGTTACTGTTGTGATTATGACATTCACTCTCTGTTGTCAGGTGAAGTATTTTAAGCATGTTGAATTGACTGTTCTCTTCTCGCATCTCTCCACAGAACGAGGGGTCTGCCTCCCCACTGTGTCGCTATGGATACTTTTTGTTTATATCGAGGCAGCTATCAGATTTAAAGATTTGAAACACTTCCACGTGGACTTGTGTCGTCCGTTTGCAGCGCACTGGTATGTCATTTTCCACAATCCTCGCTTACATTGATGAGTCAAACACTGGCACTGATTGTGTGCAAGTTTCAGCTTGATCTGTCCGCTTTCCTCTAAACCAGTGATCCTCAAATCTAGCTCTCGAGATCCACTTTCCTGCAGAGTTTAGCTCCAACCCTATAATCAAACAAACCTACCTGTGTTTTTCTAATGATCCTGAAGACATTGATTAGCAAACTCAGGTGTGTTTGATTAGGGTAGATCTAAACTCTGCAGGTAAGTAGATCTCGCGAGCCAGATTTGAGGATCACTGCTCTAAACCATTTCGGAGTCATGCTTTTAGTACTGTAAGTGACGATATGTGACCTGCTTCACTACTGCTGTAAGCAGATCGTCTGGGAGCTGAGGTTACATCAGTAATTGTCCAGGGACTGTGTTTGTTATGATCAGCAGTAGTGATAAAATATTAGTTGGCGCTTCTCTCATGGTGCCTTTTTACTGTGTATTTCTTGCTCACATTGCGGATAAACTACAACAGGTAAACATGTCAACAGTGTGGACACACTTCATTGTGACAAAATTATTAAAAACTATGGAAAATTGTGTAAAACGTGCAGAGTTTCCATAAGAGTTATCACCTTTGAACTTGAAACCCCAAAGAGCATACAGAGTTCAGTTAACCAATTACCCAAATATAATTAACAAAAAATGAAATTAATATTTTGATTTAAATATTAATTTTGGTGCATCACTAATCAGAAGACTAAATACCATCAAACCCAAACCTATCACATTTACTAGTCATTGTTCAATCATATAGCAGTACACTGTAATAATCCACAACATTTGAAGTGGTGCAGAAAACAATGCCTCAAGTTTTTCCCATGAAAGTGTAGAGCAGGTTACTTGGACCAAAATATGAGGTTACAGTTCTTACTAGGGCTGGGCGATATGATGATATTATCGTATATCGACGATGTCTCATAAGTATCGCAATGTCGATGGTAACAGACGATTATCGACATTATAGGGGGGGAAAATGACAAATGATAAACCTAGTAAGTTGTAAAAAATATTATACATAGCCCCATAGTCACCATACAGGTCTTTTTGCATGCAAGAATGAAATAATTTAGTCGGAGGGTTGGGAATCGAAAAGCTATTCCAATTTCGGAAATCAGATCAGATGCGTAAGGTCAGGAATCAAATTACTTGTTATAAAATTACATTT